CTTTCCCTGCCCTCAGGGAGCTCACTGTAGATGACAGAAAAAGAGTAAAAAAGAACAATGAAATGGCATGAGTCAGAGTACAGCATGTTGTGTGAGCTCAGCTGAGGGGCACCCAACCCAGTGGGCAAAAGAGATCTGTGTTCAGGGGTACTTCCTAGAGGAGTCAAGCCATGATCTGGGTCATGTTGGACCAGCAGGAGTCCGCCACACAGAAATGGGGGCCGGGGCACCATGGACAGAGAGGGGAACAGGTGCAATGGCTCAGACTTGAGATAGCTGTGGGATAAAGGAGAAATCTGGGGCAAAGGCAGTGACATGGCTGAGGCAGGGAGGACCAATCACACAGGGCCACATTCCCACTAGGGAATCTGGAGTTTGTCCTGGAGAAAAATGGAAGTTTCCTAAGAAAAAGAGAGAACGTGACAGGATGTACATACATAAAGATCATCCCAGCAGCCGTGTCAGGCCAGGCAATGAGGTCAAGGTGGAGATTCTAACAAGATCTAGCAAAGAACTGATGAGGGCTGGCCCAAGGCAGGGGCAGTCAGACTGGGGAGCTACTTAGGAGGCAAAATTGTTAGAGTTTGGTCACTCTGCGTAAATAAAAAGCAGTGAGCAGGGGAAGAAGCAGCAGTCAAAATGCCTCCCACGTTTCTGCCCTGGCCGATGGATAGATGACAGTACTCCCGGGAGGATAAGCAGGGATGGAAGAGACAGGAGGTTGCCTTCCATTTTGGTCACGCAGAGGCTGAGATGCCTGAGGAACCCCAAGTGGGTCTTCTCAGCAGGCAATGAACTATCAATTCCTGAGGCTTAGGAAAGAGTTCTGGATGAGAAAAATAAATGTGGAGCTCATCAGCAAAAAGGTGATAGCCACCTTTCTGAAGCCACGTGTGCAGACAAAATCTTTCAAGGAGGGTGTACACAGAGTGAGAAGAGGACCAAGCCCCAGGATATACCCCATGTGCAGGCAAAACTCCTGAGGAAGAGGCTGAGACAGAATACCCAGAGACACAGGAAGGAGAAAGAGATCAAGCTGCAAAGGACATTGGGAACAAGAGAGCTGGGGGGAAATGGAGGGACAGTGATCTACGGGGTCCAATCCTGCAAAGCGGGCAAGTAAGCAAAAGAGCCTGAAAAATGCTCATTTGTAGCCAGATTGTCCCAGCCCTCATCAGCCTGCGGTACAAATGAGATCGCATTAATAGTAATAGCCCGTATTTCACATTTCACATGGATCACTAGCTTGTTGCCAACTATCTGCAGGGCAGGACCTCCACTGCCTTGAAAAGAGTCCTTGCTTCCCAGTATTTCTGGGAGTGCCTGGGGGTGCACAAGCCCAAGAAGAGTCCTCGCGTCTCTTCCACACACACCCGCTCTTGATGTCCACAGCGCTCCAGGACGGCAGCCCCCGTGGTGGCTGCGCACCCTGAAATACCCCCGAGATCCATGGGTTCCATCTCCCGATGTGCCAAAGCTATAAACTTTCATGATGTCAACGCAACAGAGGATTCTATGCTTTGAATTCTCCACCGAAGTGAAGCCACGGCATTTTATTAAAAGTGGAGGACTCCCCCACTTTGCCATCTGTTTTTGTTCCAAGTCTCATGAAAATGTCTTCTTCATCTGTGTCCCGTGGCCATCTGTCCTAAGGCTTCAGACACCAGTCCCTGGGCCTCAGCTGTAGGGCAGACAACAGAAGCCCTTTCCTCCTGCACCCTGATCTCTGCCCCAGGTACCCAACCCTCCAGGGACCCTATGCAAAGAGATCCTTTGGGAGTTTCACTCCACCAGTTGACCAGAAACTCCACACCCACGCTTCTGGGTTAGTCTAAGGCAGGACACCTGGCTGCAAAAGGTGATTTAGCAACGCGGTGGTCGGGATTGACGTTGGCCAAAGGAGTTTCAGCGGAACGGTTGAGAAGGAGGTCAGACTGCACTGAGGACAGGAGAGGTTGGGAGGTGGGTCAAGTTCAGATGGCAAACATAAAAACAGCAGCAAGTCCTATGAGACTTGGCTTTTCGGGAAGGGCAGGAAAGCAGGGTCAAGGAGATGGAAGGTGGTGGTGGTGGTGGTTTGTAACAAGGCAGAGACTTGACCAGAGTCACATGCTGAGGAAAAAGAGCCAGCAGAGCGGGAGAGGCTACGCCCAGACGCTGAGAAGAGAGCGCTTCTGAGGGAAGCGCCCGGCGCGAGGCGCGCTGCGGGGCCCTTGCGCGGGAGAGAGGAGGCCCTGAGGAGGCCCCGGGCTTCAGCGAGGGGCCCGGCCACAGGAGTCCGAGCGAGAGGACGAAACGAAGAGAGACGACAAGGACTCTGCCAGGAGATTATTCAGGAGAAAATGAAGCTGTGGGTTGGGTGGTCCCAAGCCTGCGTGGACCCGTCACCTCAGGCCTCCCGCCCTAGCACATTCTTTCTGGTGCCAGAGATCTCGTATCTTAGTGCCTCTCTGTGACTCAGAATCTGGCTTTCTTGCTTTGCCGTTTAATTTTAGTAATAATTAGAGCTGCTGCCAGGAGTCAGTTTTCTTCCCTTCTCTCAATCATGCTATGCTTGGGATTCTGACGTGACAATCAGTGAAGGTGTGCAGCTCCAGCTTGGGCCCTACTTTCAGTGTAAAACCTCCTGGGGAAAAGGATAGTTTCCCTTTTCAAGGAGGTGGTTTTCCTTTTTCCCTTGCTTTGTTTATTTAACTTACTGCACATGGAGGGGTCAGAACTGGCCCTAGAATAAAAGACCTCACTCGCCCCACTCGGGAGCGTGGGCACCACAGGGAAGAGCATCAGGTCCTAAGCGTCTTACAACACTCAGGTGAATGTGAGAAGTGGGTTATTACACCCCTTCGACTCACAACAGTGAAAACCAAGGGTCACACACAAAGGGTCAAACAGAGAAAAAGACCTTCATTGGACCTGCAGTTTGAAATTTGGGTTTGTGTTGGAATTCACTTCCATGCTAAAGTGCAGTTCAAGGGTCACAAACTCAAATGCTTACGGACGCACAGCAGGTGTCTGGAAGGCGTGGCCCAGCCCGGCGGGGGTGGGGGGGGGGCGGGCAGTGGCACACCTGAGCCGCGGACCAAAGAACAACAACTCCTCAGCCCCAGCTGCTGCCACAAATGAAGACGACCTGATTTTCAGAGAGAGGTCGCGGGTCCAGATTCTCTTGTGAAATCTCCCGATGTTTAAAAGTGGGGGATTAATTCCACTAAACAGTGACAACGACAAACAGTGCAGGCCAAGCAAGACGGGACACAAAGTCACCATCTGAATTTCACTTCTTCTAAAGAGATTTCAGCGCATTCTGTTTCTTGAATGATTCTGTTTGTGTGTGTTTTTAGAAACTGTGTCTGAGACAACAAAGGTTTGACTCTGCCTTCTCCGACCCCTCCCTGGGGCCGGGCTGCACACTTTCTGCTTCCCCAGAGAGTGACGTGACTCTGTTCCCTTCCCAAGAGCAGGCGCTCCTGAAAGGGCTGAGGACAATGACACCCTGGACATAGCTACTGATGATGACATACCAGCGGGCGTTCCTCCGAAGCTCTAGCTGCTGAATCACTCCAGACTGAAATGACTTCAGGACTGGCCCTTTAAAAATCGAGCGCGCTACCGGGCAAACTCCTCCTCCAGGGAGGTTCCTTTAAATAAGAGCCAGCTGGCCAGGGCGCCGCTTTTCTCCCAAGCAATACCTGCAATCGAGGTTTCCTCCCCAGGAGATAGCAGCCTGTGAGCATGGCTCAAGCGTTTGTGAACAGCAAAATCCAGCCTGGGAAGGTGGTTGTGTTCATCAAGCCCACCTGCCCCTACAGCAGAAGGGCCCAGGAGCTCCTCAGCCACTTGCCCTTCAAACAAGGGCTTTTGGAATTTGTCGATATCACAGCCCACAGTGACACCAACGAGATTCAAGATTATTTGCAACAGCTCACAGGAGCCAGAACGGTGAGCCTGGGGTTTCTTTCTAAAAGGCTGGGGAGGAGGCTCCCAGATTCCTTTTTCTTGTCGGGGCTGTGAACGTGGTACGCCTGTGCCTTTCTCTAGGACACCGCTAAGGCTCTGTCTGTCACTCCAGGCGGCTGGAGGGCTGTGCAGATGGGGGTGGGCGCCTGAGAGAGGACACTGCTTCCTTGAATGGGCGGCTGGACTTCGGCCAACGGTGCTCTCAGATCAGAGGAGGGAGCACAGCTGACTGTGTTGGGCGTCAGGGGCAGCGGGCCCAGCAGCTGCCCAGGAGTCATTGAGGAACTATCTGGACTCTTTGTTTTAAGCACTGACAGTCTGCGCTTGCAGGGCTGGGGTGGAAGGAGGGATACAGGGGCCACGTGTGATCGGGGCATTTCTGTTGTTGCGCAAGAATCGCGTGCACTCTTTGCGTTCACAGGGCCAAGTGGGATTTGCTGTCCTTCCATCTTTTCTCTAGGCTCTCTTTAACCTTCATCTAAATCGCTCATTCTTCCCTACCTTATCTAACTCCTCCCTCTGGAAAAATCTAACGGCTCATTATTGCTCCTTAATCTAAATTATGGGATGTTTCCAGGCCTGTTAGGGAGTCCAGAGGCCAGAGTTCCGGATGGCTCTCACAATGGTTTGCTGTGTGATCCTGGTAAGTCACCAGCTCTGTGACTCTCAGGGACCTCCTGGCTGCAGCACCAGACTGCAGGAGGTGACCGCTACATCCCTTCTTGCTATAAGTAGACAGTGGGACCCTAAGAACCGCTGTCCTTTACGTGAACAGCCTTCCTCTTCCTCAGCATCCATGGCTTCCCGGTGAGATAGCCAGCCGACCAGATCCCCAGCATCAGTTCAGGTGCTGGGGCGGGGGCATGGTGGTAAGTTCTGCCCCACCAGATCACCCAAACTCCCTTTCAGGGCGCACATTCTAGGACACAGCATTTGCAGAAGCACATATCCTAGCTCGGGTTTAGTTTGACTTACCGCGTTCTTTCTGGCTTCTCAGTGTAAAGCCTGGGAGGCTGTTCTCCCCGCCTCTCCAGTCAGAAATCAGCCTTCTGGTGCAGAAAGAGGCAAAACACGCTACCCCATTGCTTCCAGGGGCCCTGCTGTGAGCTGAGGACCCTTGTCTCTGGAAGGAGGGAAAGGGCAGTGTAAGTACGCCTGTGGACCCCGCTGTGAGGCATCCCTCTGGGCCAGAGGTTCCCAAATGTTGCTGCTCATTAGAATCACCTGAAGAGCTTTTAAAAAAAAAAAATCCCAATGCCCAAGTCACACCGCATGCCGATTAAATCACAATACGGGAGGTGGCAGCCAGGCATCAGTGGTTTTAAAGATCCCTAGGACATGGATACAAACACTGAGTTATAAGATGAGTAAGTTCTGGGGATGTAACGTCCAGCATGGTGACTATAGTTAGTAATACTGTATTGTATGCTTGCAATTTGCTACGAGATTAGATCTCAAGTGTTCTCACCACACACACATGCAAATGGTAGCTGTGAGGTTATGGGTATGTTAATTAACTTGATTGCATTAATCATTTCTTAATGTAGTATATGTGCATCAGACCATGACACTGTACACCTTAAATACACACATATTTATTTGTCAGTTATACCTCGAAAAATCTGGAAGTGAAAATAGAGTTTATCTCCTGTCACCAAAATAAAAAGGTAATTCTAATTTGCAGCCAGGTTTGGCAGCTACATCTTTCAGCCCGGCAGCACCTATTCTCTAGCAGGAAAGACAAACCTCTTCACGCATTCATTCAACAACTGTTTTTTCAATTCATTGTAAAGCAACACTTTTTCTTCTAGTGGTCTTTTAAGTTTGTTTTTGAATTTTTCGAAATACTTTTCACAGGTTCTTGAGTCCTGAATGACATTCCTCCAAGGGGAAGAACAAACCCTTTGAAGCTGTATACTTCATGATCCCGAACAGTGAAGGGTTTCTATTAGAAGAGACGGGAAACCTTGAGAGCTGTGGCTATCTTGCTTATCCTGTGATGCCTGTGTGCTGTGCAAATAGTAGGAACCCAGCAAGACTTGATTGATTACAGAAACGTAGGCCTTCTATCAGGCCATGTTCTTGGAGAAACTGGTTTGGTTTCGCTATAGCCACAGCTCCTAGATCAGTGCCGTCACTTATTCCTTTTCCTGATGTTCTTTCTTTATGTAAATCCAAGTTTCTGACCTCTATCATTTTCCTTTTCTCTGCAGAACGTCTTTGAATGTTCCTTACGAGGCAGATCTTTGGGCAGCAAATTCCCTCAATTTTTGTTTGTTTGAGAAAGTCTTTTTCTCCTTTGATTTTGAAGGATAATTTTGCTAGATACAACAAATATTGTTAAGCACCTACTATACTAGGCACTTTTCTGGACATTGGAAATACTGCCATGAACAGAACAAACAAAAATGACTGCCTTTGTGGAACTTACATTCTAGTAAATGCAATTAATAAAATAGTATGTTGGAAGGTGGTAAGTGATGTGTGCTATGGAGAAAAAAACAGGCAGGAAAGGCAGGTGGGCTGTAGGCAGCAAGGTACAGTTTTAAATGGAGTCATCAGGGCCTCACTGATTTTAGTAGATCTCTAAAGGGAGTGAGGGAGCAAGGCATGCAGAAATGTAGGGGTAGGGCATTTCATGCAGTGGGAACCGCAAGTGCTAAGGTCCTGGGGTAGAAGTGTGCCTGGCAAGGAGGCCTGCATGGGTGGAACGTTATGAGTTAGGAGGAGATGAGGTCCGAGAGATCACGCGGTATAGGTTGGCGAGGCCTTTCAAGCTATCACACGGAGTGTGCTTGTGACGGGAGATGAGATGCCACTGAAGGGTTTTGAGCAGAGGAATAACCCTATCTGACTTGATTTTGAAAGGGTCGCTCCAGTGGCTGTGGGGAAAGAGACTACAGGAAGGCCAGGGTGAGGGTTGAAGCTGGGAGACCTCTGGAGACTAGAGCAGTAATGCAGATGAGAAAAGATGGTGGCTTGTACCAGGGAGTAGCCAAGGAGGTGCTGCAGAGTGTTGGGAGCCTCTGAGTACCACTAGAGTGCAGGAGATGCCACCTAGCTGAAGCTGGGGCTGGAGAAAGCTCCGGGAGAGGAAGGGCCCCAGAATTCTCAAGCTTGCTTTTATGGTGGCAGTTCTCTGCTTCTTGGCAGTAACAGACTCAAGTTCCCCCGAAGAGGCGGATGGGCCAGGAGGGGAGGGCACAGAGGACGAGTCTCCCTTCCTCAGCTGCATCAACAGCTTCCTGTTTTGTCACCACAGCCTCCCACACTGTCCTGCTGCCAACTGATCACACTGATCACAGCCAACTGTTGCCTAGCCTAGAGGGTGGGTGTGAGGGCAACGGGGCCTTTCAGCTCTCAGGCAAGCCAGCTTGCGTGCCAGATGGTCTGCACAGAAGTCTGCCCCGATCATGTTTCAGGGCCTGCCTCAGGTGGCTGGGGACTGCTGTAGAGCTGTGGGTTCCCAAAGCCTCAGTTACCGCAGGAGGAATGAACCACTATCAGTGCCAACCAGTGGTTTGCAGATGTGACCAGTGAGAGTCAGCATCACCTGGGAACTTGTCAAAATGCAAATTCTTGAGCCCGGGCCCGGATCTCCTGTATCAGAAACGTGCGGGGAAGGAGTAGAAACCTATGTTTTAACAAGCCCTCTGCAGTTCTGATGCAGGGTTCAAGTTTGAGAACAGCTATCTAAGGAGAAGACTCCTTACTCCTCAGGGCCTTGTCTCCAATTAACTGAACTCAAACCCCCTGGGCCAGCACCTTGACCAAAGGTGGAGATGTCGCAAGTGGCAAGAGGAGTGACCATTGCCCAATTCTTTCTGAAAATAACAGAAGTTCAAGAATGAATACATCTCGTCCTTATTTAAAGCTCACATGAGTTTTACTCATTTAGGTAATGGCTTCAACAGAAGGAGCCCTGTATTATAATTACATTAGGATTCTCTTTTATTTACCATTGCAACTGACCACAGCCAACTGTTCCTGGGGAGATAGAAGCCAAAAGGCCCCCAGAAATTTGAGAGGTGCTTTATTTTCCCTAAAATAATGGCCAGATCCAGGGGGAACGTTAGGTTTCTGACCTCATATTTCTGCATATTCTTTCAGCTAGTAAAAAAGCAATGCTGCCTTGGTGGCGCTTCCATTTGCAAAGTCCCCACACAGGCGTGCAGTGCAGGTGGGACAGGCGTCACCTGTGACTGAGGAGGACATTACCAGGCTTTCTCGCCGGAACACAGTCCTGTGTGCTCTTCCCCACTCTTGGGACATAGGAAATAGCCATGGCAATGGAGTGTAGGAGTCTTTCAATTTGGGGCCTTAATTTTTAAAGCCTACTTCCACCCAGACCCCCTTCTTAATAAAAATAAGGTAAGGACTTACCTGAAATAATCCTGCCCTTTTTCTCAACTCTCGCACTTAAAAAAAAAATTTCATCTGAACATGCACCCCAATGTTCATAGCAGCATTATTGACAGTTTCCAAGATATGGAAGTCACCTAAGTGTCCATGAACAGATGAATGGATAAAGAAGATGGGGTGTGTGTGTGTGTGTGTGTGTATATATATATATATATATATATATATATATATATAATGGAATATTACTCAGCCATAAAAAAGAATGAAATAATGCCATTTGCAACAACATGGATGGACCTAGAGGGTATTATGCTAAGTGAAATAAGTCAGACAGAGAAAGACAAATACTGTATAATATCACTTATATGTGGAATCTGAAAAAAATACAACAAATTAGTGAATATAACAAAAAAGAAGCAGACTCACAGATATAGAGAACAAATTAGTGGTTACCAGTGGAGAGAGGGAATGGAAGAGGGGCAATACAGGGGTAGGAGATTAAGAGGTACAAACTATTATATATAAAATAAGCGACAAGAATATGTTGTATAACACAGAGAATATAGCCAATATTTTATAATAGGTGGAATATAATTTATAAAAATTGTGAATCACTGTGTTGTACACCTGAAACTTATATTGTACATCAACCATACCTCAATTTAAAAATGCATCTGAATTACTGTGCCTTCTGAGGAGAGTCAAAAGCTTTGAAAATATTCTTGCCGCCTTCTGTCTTTCACCTCTCCTGCCCCTGCTGGTATGTTCCTAGTGTTCTGGGAGAGGACCTGCTTGCTCCTGACCACTCAGGGTACCCGCATTGTGGTTGTTTCTTCACTGCCAGTCAGCCTTTCTGTAACATCCCTGGCCTGGAATTTGCCTGAGCCACAGTGAAAAGACTTCCTCCTCTCTCCTCCTTCCAAGAGCCGTCTAGAATCCTGGAACACGCCTTACCTAGCAGCAGGGAGGGAGCCTGAGT